TATATATATATATATATATATGCACACACACACTCACATAAAATTATCTATTTTTGTTTTTATACATAATGGCTGATTCAGCCAGATTGATCAAAGAGATGATGGATATATTTTTTTGTGATGGTTGAGCATGATAGTAGTCATATATTTCACGCAGAGCTGTTGCTTTTGGTGAAAAAGTAATGTTTTCCACAGTGGGAAAGCATATGTTTTCTGTTTCTAGCAGACATGACACATACACAGATGCTGTTTTAGTGGAGACATGATTTCTAGGCCAGTGATGCTCTATCTGCCAAGAGGGCCTGGCGTGTTTGGAGTAGCTTTTCAACTGTTTGTTTTGCTGGATTTACATGGCAAGCTCTCCAGCAGTGTGCTCTTGGCAGATGTACTGCTTGAGGGAGCATGTTAGTTTGAGTCAAGCTATGGTAAACCACGCAGTCTGAAGTTTTTAAAGCTTCACTGTGAGTCGCCTTGACAGGGGAAAGCCCATCAAGGGCTTTTCTGGGAGCAATTCTTGTCTGTTGCAAGAAATGCAGTTGAAAGCTAAAGGGCGATGACACGTGTACATGAACATGACGTAATACTACACAATGGTTAAAAGGGAAAATGGTGAAAGATTGTTAGCTGTTTACTGTAGTATTTAGAGGAATACTTCACCCAAAAATGGGCCATTCATGATGTAGATGAGTTTGTTTCTTCATCAGAAAAAATTTGGAGTGATCACTTTTTTAATCTAATTAACCTCTTGTGAAGTGAAAAACTGCATGTTTGTATAAGAAACAAATAAGGCATGGCCAAAATATGAGTCCAAATTCCATAATACTTGCTCCAGTGAAAAGTCAATCCTCTGTCCTCTCACATCAAAATCCACTGATATATTTGTTTAGAACTGTTTTGGACTGTTTTGGCTTGTAAACAATGCTTGATTTGTGCATATTTCACTCCTGATTGAGACAAGATTACTTTTTCCCTTGAGAAAGCAATATTGTGGATAAAGGACTCACATTTTAGCTGGAATCAAAGGTTTAAAGTAAAAAGCAATGATGGATTTGTTTATTACAGACACACAGCTTTTCACAATATGTTAACTGATGAACTGGAGTCATGTGAATTACTTGTGGATTATTGTGATGTTTTTATCAGCTATTTGGACTCTCATTATAACGGCACCCATTCACCGCAGAGGATCTATTGGTAAGCAAGTGTTGTAATGCTAAATTTCTCCAAATCTGTTCTGATGAAGAAACAAACTCATCTACATTTTGAATGGCCTGAAGGTGAGTACATTTTCAGCAAATTTTCATTTATGGGTGAACTATTCCTTTAACAGCACTGTAAACTTCCATAGACAATAAATGACCCCTAATGTTCAGATTAGATGACAATTAAGATGGTTTTCCAATGGCAGATTCCTATTGGTATAAATGGACAGGATTACTTTTATTCATTTTGACAAAGAAAAACGAATGATGATATTCCTCTTCTCTCTGTTCATTTTTTAAGTCCATGCAACTGCCCCAGATTTAGACATAAATATATTCTCTCCATACACGGCAGAGATGAGTGCTTTTTGAAGAGAATGGGGTGAAAAATCCTTCCTTCACTACCTGGCTAAATGGCCCGGTGATGGAAAAATATTGTTACAGGAATGATATTTGAATAATTGAAAAGGGCCGACTTAAAATTGCAGGCTTGCCTTGATTTCAAGTGCAAAGTTAGAGGCTTCGTCACCGAAATATTCATGCCATTATTTAAGAGTGGATATATCAGGAGAAGGGATTCATTCAAAAATGATCAGAGCTCCTGCCTCTCCATTTCACAGAGCGAGAAGCAGCTCTCGCGGCTGCGGAGGAGAGATTCGTTTTAATAATGAAGAAGGACGTTCACCTTACTATCTCCCCACAGCGTTGTTATAAGTGACATCATAGATCAGGCCGACAAGCTGTGTCAAGAGAAGCCTCTCAGCATTGTGATTGCGGCGGTTTCTGTTTGTTGCTGACTTATGTAGCACACATCAAAAACAAATTACAATGTGTTTATGAGTGAACAGAGCACTGAGTCATCTGCTCAGTATTGCTTGAGCTATCCAAAGTGAGAGCTTTAATACTTACTGCAGAGTTGGACATGTGCATGCGTCATTGCGTTGGCATTTGCACTTTCTATGACTTGTAAACAGTGATTTAAAAAGTTCTCTTTCTACTGAATTGACCTATTAGCATGCCACCTAATTGAGTTTTTGTCAGTGGTCATGACTGAAATGTGGGAACAAGCCAAAAATGCATTTAAATTTTGTGACTGTTTGTTATTTTACTATTAATTTTACATGACTGATTTCTTGTCCTGAAATTGTTGTTTGCTGCTTATATATGTCAAGTCGGGACAAATGAATTTGTATAGCACTTTTCATAACGTTAATGTTTATAACTTAATATCTTTATGGCTTATTTTCGCATTTATCAGATTGGAGCTGGGTGATAATATAGTTTACATTTTACAATGATACAAGCAATCAAGCTTATATCTTTAAGCAATTCAAGCAAATATATATGCATTTTTGCCATTACCTATTTATAGGAAAAATTCAGCTTAATACAGTATAGTCATTTATTTCTTTCCAGTTTGATATAAAACTAGTTTTTGCCAATATTAATTCAGTTTTGTTGCCACAATACTCCTAAATCAGCTATTACTTAAAACGATGTATTTTTAGCAATTGCCATCTCCGAACACAACATATATTTACAGGTGCATCTCAATAAATTAGAATGTCGTGGAAAAGTTAATTTATTTCAGTAATTCAACTCAAATTGTGAAACTCGTGTATTAAATAAATTCAATGCACACAGACTGAAGTAGTTTAAGTCTTTGGTTCTTTTAATTGTGATGATTTTGGCTCACATTTCACAAAAACCCACCAATTCACTATCTCAACAAATTAGAATACTTCATAAGACCAATAAAAAAAACATTTTTAGTGAATTGTTGGCCTTCTGGAAAGTATGTTAATTTACTGTACATGTACTCAATACTTGGTTGGGCCTCCTTTTGCATGAATTACTGCATCAGTGCGGTGTGGCATGGAGACAATCAGCCTGTGGCACTGCTGAGGTGGTATGGAAGCCCAGGTTGCTTTGACAGAAAACACAGTGGACCAAAGTCCTCTTTTCAGATGAAAGTAAATTTTGCATTTCATTTGGAAATCAAGGTCCCAGAGTCTGGAGGAAGAGTGGAGAGGCACAGAAACCATGTTGCTTGAAGTCCAGTGTGAAGTTTCGAAAGTCAGTGATG